TATGTGATAATGTTCTGCTATATAATGAAAGAGTAGTAACCCTGAAAACGCTACAAAGGCGAATCCTCAAGGAAGTTACATGTACTGGCCAAACATGGATCAAGATATTATACATATGGTGGACAAATGTAATGGCTATTCCTTAGCAGCCAAGGCACCTCCAATCACTCATAAGCCATGGCCTAAGACAGATCAACCGTGGTCAAGAATCCATGTAGATTTTGCAGGTCCATTAGAGGGTCTCTACCTCTTGATTGTAGTAGACAGTTACAGCAAATGGCCAGAAGTATTTCGTTGTAGAAAACCTACTTCTGAGATGACAATAAATTGCTTTCACGAGCTGTTTGCTCATTTCGGAGTGGTTGATTGTTTAGTCACCGATAATGGAACACAATTTACATCTGCGGATTTTCAAGAATTTTGTGAAACTTTTCAGGTGAAACACATCAAATCTCCACCATATCACCCAAGGTCAAATGGGCAAGCAGAGAGGTTTGTAGATACATTAAAAAGAGCACTAAGGAAAGCTTATGACGTACCAACAGAAGAGGCTTTACAACAATTCTTGCAAGTGTATAGAATTACACCAAACAGTACAACACCATCGGCATTATCGCTGGCGTAAGTAATGTTCGCCCATAAAATTAGATCGGTATTCGACAAATTACTGCCAAAACAGACAAAGCAATCACCAACGTCGTTTGTACCAAAAAGAAAATTTAGCCCAGAGGAGAAAGTGTTTTTTAAAATGTTCAAAAACAACACATCCTATTGGGAGCCAGGTACAACAGAGAAACGAATCAGGAACGTGATTTACATAATTCATGGTCCGAAGTTCTCGCATAAAAGGCACTTAAATCATATCAGAAAGAGGCTGTATTCTAGTCTACCTCAGGAAGAGGAGGAAGTAATGGACACAATATTTGACACATTCAATATGCAAAGGCTTCAAGCAATTTCAGAACTACGGAAATCAAACAGAAAAAGAAAATTTACAGTGCCTTTGATGGTTAATCCGAAGAGGAAAAAATATTAAAGACCCCTGCGAGGTAAAAGTTTGAGAGGGTGGGGGTATCATGGGTCCTTACCTATAACTACAGAATGAACTCTTCTTAACACTATGTATACTATGCCTCTCAAGAGAGAGGGACAAATCGAGTTGAGCCGATAGTAGTTCACTCCAAACCAGACTGACAGTCATACTAACACCTTCCACTCTTGTATTATTATTTCATGTAATATACCTTCTTTATTTCTACTCTTGTGTTCATGTTGTTCTTCCTTGGTCCTAACCTGGACCATAACAATTTTCAAAATATATATAACAGGATTAGGAATAGAAAGTTATGAACTGTTCACAAAAATTTTAAGATTATATATTTCCATAAACCTTGGATGAATTTGTGAAAATTAATTTAATCTTGAATAAAGTATTTTTTTTTTGAATCAAAGTTAAAGAATTTATTTTTTAAAATTGGTTTGAATTATTACAATATATTTATGACAGTCAGTGATTTATATGCTTTTGAATAATAAATTTTACCTAGATGATTTAATTTTAAATTATGCATATAAATACTCATACAAAAATAATTATACATCTGCAAACATAAAGATAACTTGAATGCACATATGCAAACTTTAAAGTAATTTAAAGGAACAAAAATATAATGGTATGTATAAAATAGGATATTGATAAAATTAAAAAGGAGAAAGGAAAGAAAACTATTTCCACAAACATACAGAATAACTGTTTTAATGAAAGTATCAAAAAGATTTAAAATCTTTTATGAGGATTCTCAATGATGACAAAAATTATCCCATAAACGATTTTGTGCATTCTCCAATTATTTTCTGCATTGATATTTCCTATCTCAAACAAACTTTTTATGAAGTTTTCTTTGCTGTAATCTGAAGGGAAATAAATAATGATTTACAAACTTTTCTTGAACAGATGAAATGTTTATAGATTCTTTTTCCTTATATCATCACAAAGAGAAAAGTCTTGTGTTCTTTGTGTGCAGAAAGTAACATTTGGGAATTCTTTGAGCAAGAAAAAGAGATATTGTTTTTATAGAAATATTTACAGTAATGTTCAATATTTTTGTTAAAAATGCAAAGTATTAACAAACTACTCAGTTTTATTCTTTGATTCATTCTGAGAATTTTTCCAAATTAAATTATCAGATTATTTAATAAGAAATTACTAATTTAGCTGTAAATTGAATATTTTAGTGTATTTTTCAAAACAATGACAATTTAAATTGATATTTTATTGTTCAGTAACATATTTATTGATTATTCTATGAAAAGTTCATTTCTTTCTAATTGTTTTTATTATATTTTTGAGCAAATAAGGAAAGTCATGATTTTTGCATGTTATACGTAACTAAGTTTGATTAAAATTGCTCATTTTTAACAAACAAAAAGAATTTTATTTTTTAAACGTTACAATTGGGAGATTTTATTTTAGGAGAGATGTTGATTAAAGCCATATAGTGTAAAATTATCAATCAAAGCCTGTAGCAAACTTCAGTGTATTGATTTCAATGATTATGAATAATTTAGTAGTGAATGGTAAATAAAACTCAGTACTATTTGATTTGAAAGAGAAAAAATAATCAGATATATGCAAGTTTTCATTAATCATTTTCAAGAGTGTGGAATTGGACTCTTTTATGATAAGAAAATGGATTTTGTATATAGATGATCTACATAATGGCTGGATGCAGATGAGGTGGTTATGGTGAGCATTTGGTGAAACAGAAGTGATTTAATATATCATAACTTTCTTCAAAGTGGGCAAAGAATATATAGTTATGTTGACCTGTGTTCCACTGGTCTTAAGGTAGAAAGATAGAAAGATATATCAGACTAGCCACAGAAAAGTCAAAGCAACACAACGATGACTCAACATGTGGTAAACTCTTGTCTTGATCCCAGCGTTCCTTAGTGGGACCGGAAGTCCTTACAATCATTTTCCTCATTATTGATGTTGTTACAACATCTCCTTTCCTAAGGTAATTTAGTTTCTTTATTAATTTAAACTTTTCCAAATTACAAGGCAAAGTTTGTTTTGGTTACAGTCCAAGGGCAATAACTCAATCACTTTGTGAAATCAAACAGATATTTTAGAATTTTTCATCCTCACCTTGTTTTTCCAGGACTTTCTTTTGTATTATCTGTTTGAAGATACTTGCAATGATCACTAATTAGTTTATTTGTCACAATATAGAACCTGTGGGTAAGGTCTGCTGACTTAATCATTCCTTTAATGTGTCAATATTTCTCTTTATCTAATTTTATTCTAACTCTATCTCCTCCTTTTAGAAAGTTGGTAAATCTCTTAGCTATTTTAACAGCATTTTCCACTTCTCCTTTTGCCTGAGGATAACGTGAGCTTGATGTTATGAGTTCAAATCCATAATTGTTTGCAGAATCTTTGAAAGTGTAACTTGAGAATTGTTTCCCATTATCACAGACAAGTTCAATAGGAATTCTTCAATGTGAGAAGAAATTTTTCAACTTCCCTATAATGCATTTGCTTGTCATTGGATTAAGCTTTGCTATTTCTATAGTCTTCATCACAATAGCTAGAGAGTAGATGCAACAGGCAACAATAAACTACAGAAGAACTCGAAATTGATCGCTGCATTTAAGTATTGCATTAATATGTAAGCTTACATTTTAAAATTTCAATGATAATTCTTCTGCTGCCACTTAACTTAAAGACAATTTGATGTACATAGATGCTTACTTTCCATACCAACAATTATTTTTATTTCATGGGTGATTTTCACTGGATTTCACAATTAATTTCAATTATTCCCTAATTTATTTTCAAATTATAAAAAATCTTATCGTACAAAAAATTTGTTGCAAAAAATCATCTAAAAAATCACTAAAAACAATCACAGAAATGAAAATTTGGGAATCTAAAATTTCAGGATTGCTGGTCTGGTTCTGGATGGGAATGTTTTAATTTGCTCAGAGAGTAGGCCTGATTCCAAAATGGTATGATATGTTGGTCTATGGCCTCAAGGAGTAAAGTTGAAAAAGTGTGACACACTGATATTTCCATTTATTATATAGAAGACTAGCCACTGAAAAGTTGAAGCAACACAAAGATGACATAACATGTGGTAAACTTAACAATCATTATCATCATTATTGATATTGTTATAACAACCAACTTCTGCTTAAGTCAGTGAACTCAAAACCTAAAAAAATGAAAGAAAACATTTTCATGAATAGAAAAGGCATCATTTTGTTGCATGATAGCATATGATCATCTTATGAAAAAGTAAATCTGTTAAAAAGGACACTTAATTACATCTTGTCTCTTTTCTCATTAAGCATTTCTTACAAGGCTCTACATAATTTCCTTACAGAAAAGAATTTTCAAGAGTCAACTTGTAGAAATCTTCAGTATATTGAATTTTGAATGAAGAATGTTTTACAAGGGGCCTTAATGACTTGCTGACACATAAAATTAATGTAGAAATTCAATGTCAAAATATATTTTCTGGAAAAAAAATTTTATCTGAAGATTTTTGCCAATTGTTTAATTGTTTAACTAAATTTGAGATTTCAAGAAATTTCATACTGAACAAACCACTACTTTCTAAAATAAGAAACTATATTTTATTCAAGTGTACTACTTAAAAGAAGTTTTAAATATAAGCAAAGCTACATTAGGTTTACCTCAATATTTTTTTAAATGTCTGTTGATATCTTGTCAAATTTTCAATATTTTAAAAACTTCAATAAAGTTCAATTTATGTAAAATTTGCTTATGTAAAAGGTTATCAGTTGATTTTAATGAATACACTTAATTTTTTTATGACAAATATTTACAAAGATTGTTTTTTTTAAATTTTAAATTGAATCTTGATTTATTAACTATACTATAAAATATTAATTAATTGGTTTAAATATTTAAATGCATTATAAATTTGGAGATAAAAGTTGACCTTTCCTCTTGTTTGATATAATTTCAGCAATTGAAGAGCAAGTTTTTGTTACCCAGCCAGAAAATTTATCAGTAGTAGAAGGTGCCACTGCCATCTTGAAGTGTAAAGTCAAGAATAAGCAAGGAATATTGCAATGGACACGTAACGACTTTGCTCTTGGCAAGGATCGTAATCTTCCTAGTTTTGAGAGATATTCTATGGTTGGAAATGATAATGCTAGTAAGTATCCAATGTATGTATGATTCTTTTTATTATTTTTTGGTTCTGTTTCTGATGAATTTCACTCAAAATATCAAACTCATTATTTTTTTTAAATTTACTCAAAATATTTTCAGTTTTGATTATTCCTTGATGGTCAACTTTTCAGCAGATATTCAAGATTGCTTCAGATATAAAAATAAAGCTGAAAATTACATCTTCAAAACTGAAAGTTGTATTTGCAATTGTCTATTAACAAAGATATTTTATTTAACTTGGTAAAAGCTGTAAAATGTTTATGCAGATAGAATATAATTGATACATGTACATCTTTATTTGTTTAATCATACAAAACATATATTATTGATACATGATTTTAAATATTTGTTGTCTTACTGTGGTATATACTAATATTTATATAAGTACATGATCTTTTTAATTATTTAAATAGTATTTTCTGATGTGATTTAGCATAATCATTTATGTAATGCTCACACCTAATTAATAAACTATAAAAACTGATACTTCAGTATAATAGATTATAATTCTATTGGTATAAAGCCTCTGTTAGTCTCTATAGAAATGGTATCATTCACCCAGTTTTTCTTTACTTGTACTTAACTAATATTGATGTAACATGATAAAATCACTATTATTCCGAATTTAAACTAAGTTACTAAAAAAAGAAAAGGTAAAGCCATTATGCATTAATGTCACGAAAAAGCCCAGATTTATATCATTTGTGACCTGACATCTAGTGAGTCAATGGCTGAACAATTATCAGAGTTCAAAAGGGACATGATAATGGGTGCCTGATGGATAGTATATTCCATACAAGTTGGTGGTACTGATGTGGGGTGTATTCATGTGGCAGGAATTAAGTCCACTCATCAGTAGACTTAAACATATCACTGATCAGTGACTAGTATGTTACACTGCTTCATGAGCACCCATTCATGGATTTCATGTACCCTAACAACTATGGTTTATTCCAGCAGGATAATAAAAGCCAAATTACCCAGAAATCATTTGGCAAATTATATGGCTACCAATCGTATGGCCAATGCATTTGCACAACTGAGCATTTATGGAATATTGTGGAGAGGTTTGTTCACATGCAAGAGTCACCTGCATCTACAAATATCAGCCAGATATGAACAACTATCAAGGCAGCATAGGTCAACATCTCTCCAGAGGTCATACAACTACTTGTGAAATCAATGACATGTCAAATTGCTGCACTTTAACAGGCTAGGTGGGTTCCTATACGATACTAGGTCCCATGACTTTTCACATGTCATTGTATGTATGACAATAGGGAAAGTAATAGTCTAGATGTGGCATCCATAGAATGTGGAAAGGATTCATGTTTTATATCATAAGCAACATTAATATTATTTTTCAAAAATACAAAACTGTTCATCAAGCAGTTTTAAAATATAAAGGTAATTTCTAATAAAACACTTAGAGCTACTCAATATATGACAAAACAAATGATAACAATGTTTATTCACATTGTTAAAACATTTTGAAAGGAAGTGATTACAAAAGGATCAGAAAATGAATAAACAAAATCAAAAAGCAAAAAACTCTTTTGTATTATATTTAAACAATCAGTAAAATGAGAACAATACATAGTAATGGTGACTGAATTTCTTGTATGAAATATTTTCTATTATTAGAAATGTTTATGAGTATTTCTTTCATCTTAATTTTGTTGCTTTTTATTATGACTCTGGTCATTATTAATATTAATTCTGCTAATATGGTTTTTATTATCCAAACAGATAATGGAAGTATAATGTAGTATAGTTTGTAAGCAACTAGTATGGTGTAAATAATTGGAAGCGGAAGATAAAGAAATATAACAGTAAATTTATCTTTGCTTAGCTTCTAAATAGGGAATTTTTCATTTCTGATTCATGTTGCTTACTTTAACAATAATAAAGTATTGTGATAAAAAGCAACAATAAAGATGAAAGAAAAACTCTAAAAGCACTTATAACCTGTAATGTTATTGGCAAATTATTTTTTAAAGTTTTAAAGATAACATAAATATTGCTTATGATAAAGTTTAGTAATAATCTTGTTAACATTTAAACATCTCTTATCAATATTACTGTTATCTTTAGCATAAGTTAATAAGTATGTGACAAAGAACAATCATAGATAAATTATATAATGCTGTCTTTATTATCAAGAGATGATTTCATTTTATGGGTTTGTTACATTAACACAGAAAAAATAGCATATTGTAGCTAAAGATCTGTCAGTGCAATTGGTTCTGACTTGAAGGCTAAATCAGTTTATGGTTTGTATATAAGTTTGTTACAAAAGTTAAAAAGAAAAACATGTTAACATTGAAAGAGGAAAAGAAATGTAAATATTACTAACAGCTGTATGAAATAATTATACTCACAAAATTGATTTTGTTTTAAACATATTTACATTTTTTTTACAAAATAAAATTATAATTTTCATTTATTTTTCTCTACTATCACAAAAATCTCAACACTTTATTACAAAGAATATTTTTTCTAAATTTTAATCATATATACCCAAAAACTATTCAATACTAGACTTACTGATTTTGGATTAATAAATGTGCAAGCAAAGCTAACTTTAAATTTAGTTTAAATTAAGGACCAGTCTGTTTGAAAGGTAACATTCCAAATGAATCAAAATATTCTGAATTGAGTAGTTTGTAAAAATGTTCTACTCTTGGATCAATGCTTTTAATATTTTTTAAGGCCTGTAAATATTTCATCACAACTGTAATTCCAGTTTCAAAGTAAAGACTCAATTTTTCTAATTATCAACTCATTGGTTTTCAGTATTTCATTACAATTTTTTAGTACAAATTCTCTCTTTCCTTTCAAATTAGTAGTTTTATGAAGTTTTATTGATTTTTTTTTCTTTCATTGCAATATCTTTGGTTATTAGCAATATATTATATAATATATATTTGGTATAAACAACATATTATATAATATATAATGTAATATATAATATATTAATAATATATATTATATAATATAATAATGAGAGATTCCCATTACATGAAAGGAAATAAAATTAAGGCAGAAAAAAACATTTCATAATGAAAATGAAGGAGAAATTAAGATCTAAAGGGAAAAAATACTATGAAAATTAGTGCAATTTTGTTATGCAATGGTGTACTGATGTATGCTGAAAGAGTGCTTATACCAGCATTGTTACAAAGACGTATCTTGAAATAATTTCATAGAGGACATCCAGGGATTTCTAGGATGAAATCCTTAAGGAAATGTTATACCTACTGACCAAACATGGATAAGGATATAGAAAATTTGGTGAAATTATGCAGAGGTTATGCCTTGGCAGTGAAGTCACCACCTATCAAAGTTCAACCTTAGCTGAAAACTGATGCCATGTTCTAGAATACATATTGACTTCACATTTTTGTGAGATTCAGCATTCAGATAACAGGACACAATTCATGTCGAGTGAATTCAAGTTCTTTTGCAAATCATTAGCAATTGAACATATCACAACTCCCCCTTATTACCGTAGATTAAACAGACAAGCAGAACAGTTTATCGACATGTTTAAAAGGCTGCTAAGAAAATCAGAGGGAGAGGAGTCAGATGAGGTAACGATTCAACAATTTCTAAGCATTTACTGAATTACACCAAACCCTAATATCGTGTCTGGAATGTCACCTGCAGTATTGATATTTGCCAGGAAGATCAAGTTTGTCTTCAATAAGTTGTTACCTGAAAGCAAGGAAAGAACATCAAAGAATAACTGTACAAATACATATTTCAAACCTGGAGACAAGTATTTTTCAGGATGTATCAGTGCAGAAAGGAATTAAAAATTGTATTGGCAGAATGATGTACATGGTACAGGGACAAAGGTGGAAACATAAGAAACACCTGAATCAGTTGAAACAAAGGTTCACTGACTTAAAAACTCCCCGAACAGAAGTACCAATGGAAATTCTGTACGACACATTTAACGTACCTATACCATCAGAAGTAGTTCAACCAAGTGTTTATGGCAAAAGGAAAAGAATGCCTCAGAGTTTCTAATGATCGAACCAAAGCTGAAAAAGTATAGACTCCAGGGGAAATCATCTCAAAGGGGAAGTGTTGTATAGGAATAAAGTGTCATTGCCAACACTGTAGTTTCAACACAGATCACCATTGAGCAAACATGGATGATTCCATTATTAACATAGATCACATGATCATAAAGGAAACGTATAAATGGGAATTAGCGTGACGTATAAGTGATCACTATTTTTTATACTATCTACTATACTATTTCTCTATACTGCTGATTATACAAATTACTATTTGATGATTACTATTTGAAAAGTATTATTAGTGTGAATATTATTTGAAGGCGTTACTACAACTAGTACCTGTGGTTCCAAAGTCTCAGCTACAACAAGCATTACGAGTGTGATAATGGGCATTTGTTGACCTTATGAAAGTGAGTGTCTAACATCACAAAAATTACTTCAAGTGACACATACCTTGTGTTACCAGAACAGTTAATTTACTTATTAATCAGCAGTAGTGAGACCCGGTTAATAATAATTACCCAACAATAGGCAAATTTAATGTTATAGAGAGGAAAGCAAAAAAAGTTTGAATTATCATTATTGTATATAATATAAAATAGAAATGTAGTGACACTGGCAAATTAATATGCCTAATTTGCATAAGTGCAAGAGAAAGCCTATATAACTCGTCACTGAGAATAACGTGGGACGAAGACAAGCTTAGTGACTGGCTAGTGCTAAACAAAAATTAATACAGAAATACAACCATCATAAAAGTCAACCCAGCAAACAAATATTCGCCGATACGTACATGTTAAAAAAGATAAGAAAATGTATGTATTGTGGACGTGAACACGAAATAAAAAGGGAAAAATGCCCACCATTTGAAAAAACTTGTACAAATGCAAATTCAAAAAGAAAAACGTTGAAAGAGTTGAAGAAAATGAAACCAATGTGGAAGTCTTCACATTAAAAAATAAGAATATAGAAAAAATTGAACAAAAGAAAAAAGACATTATACTAAAGGTTAAAATCAACAACTGCAATTTAGATATGCAAATTGATACTGGGAGTGAAGTAACGCTGATACCAAAAAATTTTTGGGAACACATTGGAAAGCCACCTTTATGAAAGAGCAGTTTACAACTCCGCCAATTTGATAGGTCGGTCATAAAAACTTTAGGATACTTTGAAGGTTCCTTGGAATTAGAAGATAAATTTGAAGTAATACCTGTATTTGTAAAACAGACAGAGAGAGGCGATGACGCGTCTGTGAGAAAGTGTCTCTAGACGAGATGCCAGATCAGGGCCAGTTATATTGCATATCCGCCTCTGGAGCCTATCAAGAACCCCAAGGCAAACAGAAGGGGCTCTAGACCATATATGGCAGCAATACTCCATGCAAGTGCGAATTGTTGATTTGTAGATCTGGAGAAAAATTTCCTGGCGTGGCACAGGGAGCCAACTTTCCTTGCAGTGGACGAAGCAATTGACTCAATGTATTTGTTCCATCTCAGGTCAGCCATCAACGTGAGACCGAGCAGCTGCAGAGAGGTGCTCTCAAGCAGTTGAGCATCAGACATTCTAATGGAGGGCAGGGAAGGATCTCTGTGTTGATTAATAGAGAGCAGTTTTGTTTTTGAAGCATTATAGTTGACCAGCCAATTCCTGCCCCAGTTCACAACCGATTGGAGGTCCTTTTCGAGATGCACAACCAGGTTATTTTTGTCACTGACACTACATCAGCTGTAGATCTGGCAAAGCGGAAGCCATATTGCTTGTCTGAGAGCAGTTCATGGGATGTGAGGTGGTTAACCACCTTGGTATTGATTAGGGCTTCGAAGACTTTGCTGAAGAGAGGTAGGAGACTGATAGGACGGTAGTTAGAAGGGTCAGAGGGGTCGCCAGAGTTCTTGAAGACAGGAACAACTGAAGAGGACTTCCAGCAGTCAGGAAAACAAGATTCCTTGAGGCAGTAGTTGTATAGTTTAGAAAGGGCAGGCGTCAGTTCAGGCGCGCATTTTTTCAAGACAATGGCTGGTATCCCATCTCCACCACTAGCCTTGTTGGGGGTCTAAATTGGAGATAACGCCCAATACCAATGACGGGGTTATGTGTAACCCACTCAATAGGGCTTCAGTTCTAAGAGGGAAGTCGGGTATGAGCCTTGCATCCTAGTGGCTTCCCGCCTTGCTTGGGGTGAAACGCTTAAAAAAAAAAAATACCTATAATTGTCACAAGTTGTAAAAAGAACCACGGACTTCTTGGAAACGACATGCTTAACATAAATTCTACCAAATTAATTAATGAGATAAAATGGAAAAAACCAGAAAGTTAAAAAACTATAAAGCAAGTTTAAAATTAAAAGAAAATGTCTCCCCTTCTTATTATGAGGCACGGAAATTACCAGTACATTTGTTGTAACAAAACTACGAAAATTAATAGAACAAGACCTTCTTGAACATGTTCCCCCTGGGGATAGAAAGTGGGCATCACCCATTGTAGTTTTGAGGAAGACAGATGATGATTTACGTATTTGTGGAGATTACAAAATAGGCATAAATCACAAAGTTTGTTCGGATTCATATCCTATACTGAATGTTGAAGTTGCATTACATGCACTGGCAGGAATGAGTGTTTTTACAAAAATAGATTTAAAAACGGCATACCACCAAATACCAAGAGACAATAACTTCAAAGAAGTAACCATGATAAATACGCCAATAGGTTTAATAAGATGGAAAAGGATGCCATATGGAATAAAAACCGCAAGTGCCATATTTCAAAGGGCCATCGAACAGGTTTTAGAAAATATGAAAAATATGATTTGTTACCAAGACAATATATGCATAGGAGCTACTAATGAAAATGAATTAAAAAAGAAAACCGACATAATCTTGAATAGATTAAGAAATGCTGGAATGACAATAAATGAGAAAAAATGCGTAAGCAATTGTAGTAAAATATCTTTTTAGGTTATTCCATTTCAAAAGAAGGTATATCACCAGACCAAGCCTTGATAGAAAAAATACTAAAATTAGCTACACCTACAAATAAAAAAGAACTGAAGTCTTTTTGGGGATTGGTAAATTTTTACAGGCGATATTTACCAAAATATACGGACTTGACTGAACCATTTGCAAATTTAAGAAAAAAGAATGTTGAATTTATTTGGTCAGAGGAACAACAAAAAGCTTTTGATAGATTAAAAGTAATTATGGCAAAGAAACCAGTAGTGAAAATGTTTGATCCAAAAAAGGACATTATGTTAACCACAGATGAAAGCGAACATTCAATATCAGGAATATTATCACAAGAAGTACATTCGATAATGTATTTATCAAGAAGACTAACAAACACCGAATTTAATTATTCAAATATAGAGAAAGAAGCATTGGCTCTTGTGTGGACTACTACTAGAGCCCGACAATTTTTAATTGGGAAAAAATTTCTGTTAAGAAGTGATCATAGACCATTAGAGTTTATATTTAACCCAAGGAAAGAATTACCCAGTCACGACATTGAGGATACTAAGATGGGCAATAAGATTAATGGCATTTAACTTTGATATAGAATATGTCAAAGGAAATTCAATTCTACACATAGATGAACTATCAAGATTGCGATTTTACAAGGAGTCAAAATATAAAACAGAAGAAGAATTTGAAAATGGATTCTTACATTGGGTAGAGACTGATATTTTGTCTTTAGATAGAATGGCTGCGTAAACTAGACATGATCCAGTACTAAGTAGGATAATATCGAGAATGAGAAAAAACTCATGGGGAAATTGTTCTAGGGCGGAAAAACCCTACAAAGAAATAAGACAGAAATTAACGATAGAACATGGAGTTATTTGTAATGGGGATCTGTAGTCCCCCAGAAACACAAAGAAAATTGGTAATAAAAGTGTACATGATGATATACACTGTGGAGTAGCGCTACACAAAAAAAGGATAAAATTAGAAGCATGCTGGCCGGGATATTCAAGAGATGTTGAAGAATATATAAAAAGGTGCAAAAAAAAAGAATTAAGAAACTTTACACAGACTACTTTTTACATTCGTGGCCCAGAGAAGTAGAGCCATGTAGTCGGGTGCATATGGATCATGCGTATATTACTGGAGTGGGACTTTATTAATTTAGTAGACTCTTTTTCAGGCTGACCTGAAATAATCCGGGTGCCAGACAAGAAAAGTTCTACGATAAAACAGATTCCAAGAGTCATATTTTCCAGAAACGGCATACCAAAAACCCTGGTATCTGACAACGCACCAGAATTTTGTGATGAAGTTCCTAATTTATGGTTAGAAAAAATAGGATGAAAACCGTATAAGACACCCCCATATCACCTTCAGTCAAACGGGTTAGCGGAAAGAATGGTGCAGACCGTAAAAACGGGACTAAAAGCATGCTCTCAGCAAAAAGAAAAAGGTGAAGTGTTCTAACTAGGCTGCTTTTAAGCTATTGCACAATACCACACGCTGGAAGACTAGAAAGCCCATCAGCTTTAATGGGAAGACAAATTAGAGCTCTGCTAACGATGTCATATTCCACAAATGAAAAAATATGGTACAAAAAGAACAAAGAAGCAAATCCGGAAAGGGCAGAATTTATCATGCAAAAAGGTCACAATACAGCTATAATAAATAGAGAAAACGGTAACAGTGTATTAGCCCATGCAGATCAAATAAGGACCCAGGGTGAATATGAAGAGCAAAATGATGAAGAAATGTCTACGATTCCATCTGTTAATGATTTATTAGAACAACCGTTTCAGAATGAAACATCAGAAGACGAAATAATACAGGATCAAGTGGGCCAAAATGAGTTTGAAAGTTCGGATGAAGATCAAATAATGCAAGAAGATGCCTATGATTACAGCTTAGCGCAGGACAGATCTAGGTCTCCCAGAAAAAGAAATACGGGAGAGAGAGAAGTAGAGCAAAGTAATGAAACTATCACGAGAAGAAGTACAAGAACTACTAGAGGTATAAAACCTATACGTTTCAGGGAGATGTAGTGACACTGGCAAATTAATATGCCTAATTTGCATAAGTGCAAGAGAAAGCCTATATAACTCGTCACTGAGAATAACGTGGGACGAAGACAAGCTTAGCAACTGACTAGTGCTAAACTTCGACTTCACATCAAGAAAGTTGGTATATAGTAACAAACAGTAAGATTATTTAGGATATATGCAAAGTGAGAATAAATTAAACATGAAATGGATTTGATTTAAGTAGTACTATAGACTTTTACATTTTCAAAGATCTTTAAAATGAAATATTCGTCTTTGCAGTGGAATATAACCTTAGAATTGTAAATGCCAGCATGGAAGATGATGCATTATACCAATGCCAGGTAACCCCAACTAAAGATGTTGCTGGTATCCGAAGTAATACTGTCAGACTCACAGTCTTATGTAAGTATAAATTATTAATAAAGCATATCTTTAACACAAGTCTCTTTGATACTCCAGCATTCTCTTTAGTATCCTTGCTGATTTCAGTAATGCTGTTATCTGAATAGATTTAAATGCCAAAAAATATAAATCTCTTTGCTACTAAATTGCTGCTGATGATTGCATTATGGAGATGTGCAAGAAATTACTCTTTCTACAAAGAAGTATTGTTTTGTTTTTTTTTTTAAATGGTAACTGTTGTAGTAATTATTATTTCTAAATTTTAATTAAAATTAATTCAGTGGCTCTCATTCGGGGTCAAGTGACATCAAATCTCATTGCTACTCCAGTATTCTTAGTACTCTTGTCACAGTCATACCACTCTTTATCCAGATTTTCTTCAGATCTCTGATTTCTGCAGTCTTTTATCAAGGATCTACAAGACCATTCCAAGGTTTCCATTAATAATGAGTACATTTTGTTTTTGTTTTGTTTTTGTTTTGTTTTTTAACTTCACTGGCAAGGTGCACATATACACTTGACTTGGTGTACTGATGAACTAATTTAACAATCTCTTTCCTAGGTATAATTTGTGACTATTTGATATTTTATTTTTTATCATTAGGAAATATTTTTGACAGTATGCAAACTCAAGTGCTAATATAAAATTTACCTAATTATATATTTCTCTTTACTAATTACAATATTCAGTAAATACTATATTTGCATAATTTTGATATATTTGATGAATATTTTATATATTTGATGAATAATCCATGCCACCATAAATTCATCAAAAATGATATTTTCAAACTTTGTTTACAATGACAGTATTCTGAAATATTTCTGAACTGTCTGGATTTTTCCTTCATTTATATATGTATATATATATACTTTGTCTTTTCAGTTCGTCCAGACCAACCTCAGATACTTGAAGCTCCAATTGCTCCAGTCATACTGGGAGAACCAACTAATATCACCTGTGAAGCAAAAAATGGCAAACCAGCTGCAAAGATATCTTGGTATCTTAATGGCCAAATGATGAACAGGAAACTGTATTCAACTGAAGTCCGAAGAAAAAAGAATAAGCTTGTCGATAGTATTGGCCATGTTTTGCTAGTACCAAAGAGTGAGGATTCTGGAAAGATTTTAGAGTGCTATGCCATTAATGAAGCACTAACTCGGCCACACAAAACTAGTGTCAAGTTAGATGTTCAATGTGAGTGTAGTCAGAAACATTTCTTATGATTTTTGAATAACAAACCAATGTTGGTCACATGTGAACATTTTCACTAACAAAATTAATGTGTAGAAGGTTATTTTTTAACCAAAATGATTTCATAAGTTTTCTACAATGAATCTAAACTACAATACAATAAAATCAAGTTTTTTTTCATCATATTACTTTATATATGTGCAGAAGAAGTGAACCATGTTAAGCCTATCTGATACTTGTTTTGCAATGGCAAAAATCTTTAGGATTTAATATTAGTTGTTAAAAAATTTCACCTTGTTCTTATCTATTCTTATTCATTAATTTTATTTTCAGGAAAAAATCTAATAATTACTGTCTGTATAAAGGCGTAATTTAGTTAATTTTCTGAAGTCTAAACTCATGCTTTTAAGTTTGAATATTATTTATGATTTATTTCTCTAGTTAATCTAGCAAAAATTCAGTTCAATTCAATCTTTTTGTATGTTTCTTTTTCTATACCTCAATTTTATTAAAGAAGAAAAAAGAAAATCTCCCCATAAATGCTTTATTCAAATTCATTTAATTTCTATTGAATCTTTCTACATTAATTCCTCTAGTTCTGTTTTATTTTTGATGAATTAAAGCATTTTGTAATTTCCTTTATACAATTCAACTGCAATTGTTTCTTTTATTGCAATTTTGCACTTAATAATTATCTTAAAATGTGTATGCACTAATTTTTAAATACACATTCTGAGATTGCAACAAAGAATAAGATTGTGTAGCTGCAGAGTGACAAAAGGATGAGCATAAATTTCTAGAAGGATTAAGTTTTCTATTGGATCTTTCTTTAGAATTCTGAGAAGAGATCTGTTTTTCTTTGAAGATCCCCCAGATATTGTGATGCAGATCAATGTAACAGAGAAAATACAAGAAGGAATGAATGTACAGTTGACCTGTAATGGATTTGCTAATCCTCAGCACATCAGATGGAAGTAAGTAATTTTGCAAAGTTAAGTTTTTAAAATAATCTTCAAAAATTGCATTTATATAGACTATAGTAATTGCATGATGAGAAATTAAGTACAGAAAAGAACATATCTGAGCATGATGTACTGTGGTATATCAGTGAGAAAAAATTTGTGTACATATTGCAGCTTCTATAAAATTAAATAGCAAATTATACACTATTGTTCCTTATGATAGATTATTTCAAAAGTTTCCAATAGTTTTTTGACAAAATATTTTATTCATATAAATTCTTAACTTCATTATTCAATGATAAAATAATTTCCCTAATATTTTATTATCTTGCACTATTTTTCAGCTAAACTGTGTATTCCACCAAGAATGATTTAGATTTGATAAATTCTTTGAGGAATTTCTTTGATATCTTGAATTTGTTGGAATATTGCATAAAGCAAAATAAAAGATAAACTGGTTTGGAGAATATGCTACATACAGGAGAATTTTCAATTTCAGATGCACATTACACTACACATTGCATTTGCAATATGGGAACAAATCATGCATCAAAATCCATGATCAAATTCTTTACTCAGAAAAAGGACTTTTCTTTTTCAGTACATGATTCTGTTGCAGGTGGTATATGTGCCTGCAAACAGATATTGAATGGCAGTAGGCAACAACAAATGAAATGAAAACTTGAGTAAAAAATATATTGTCGAGCTTATTTTCATTAAAGAAAATACATCAACAAAAATAATGTTACAGTGCAGTAGGCAAAGAATATCTCTACATGTTCATGTAAAGGGTGAGAAGTGTGTTGTCCTGAGAAGGACAGTTTAGTCATTGAAAAGTGTTCATGCAAGAATTGGTCTATTTAGTCACCAATGCCATCATCATGAAGGAAGTAAACTGAAAAGAAAAAAATAAATTCTTGGATACAAGATAAAGCTATCACTGATGGGAATGTGGTATCCTATGCTCACACACAAAAAATAGACTTGCCAACATGAGCTATATAATCTGTGAGTTACCTCCCTTTTATTTTGTAGCTGAGTTTCATTTAGCTAAATAAAGCTTAGTACTTTTACTTCTGTTCTGAGTTTTGTTTTACTTATCACAATTTATTTAGCTAAACCAATACAAATAATGAACATGGAAATCGCATGGAAGCCAAAGCCCTTTGTTGTGGAGTTATTTCACAACGGAGGCTTGTATTTGTACTAAATCAATCCTAAATAGGTTCGATGTACAAAACGTTAGGAACTTGATATATTAGGTATTATGCAGAGTAATCTTGTTGTGGTCACTGACTACTTTCGTATTCAACTAACTGTCGACTACTGTCGTCCGACATCGACTGACCCTCGTTTCTCTTACTACTCCTACTTATATTAGGTGGGAGAGTCTATTAACTATAGAATAGGTGTGTTTCACCATAACACACTTAGATATTGACCCCTGTTCACTAACTGCTGCCAGAGATTATCACCATTGGCGAACTATCCTGTTGAACTATTTTGGCAATTACAAGGACAGAATTCCTAACAAGTACCAGGCACTCTTGAGTTTGTGACGGTTACACACCTGGCCCAGGGTCGGATCCTTTGGTTACGGCGCCAACGGTGACGTCGCTCCTCCTGGTCGCTCCTCCTGGGTCCAAGCGTGCCGCTCCAACCCCTTGGTCAGATGATCACCAGCCTCGCCTTTCCCGACTCGCTTCCAATACCTGGTCACTAAAGCAACTGTACCGATCTCCGGTCTGTCTACCCACGCTGTGTTTAGATCTTAGACAGACGGGACCAGCAGGATTGGGGCCGATACAAGTTGAGTCCGACGGGGTGGCAAAACACAAATAAAAGAGAAAATAAACTCACGAGACAAAAAAGATTGCTGATGAAAAAAAAATGGGTAACAACCTTTTATATCTTAATGTCCGTTACATAAAAACAAAATTGTTCTCATTTCCCAACCCGCTCTGTGGACTATGGCAACAAGCTTCTATCACACAACCTAAAGATTTTGAATTGCCTACTCTTTAGAATTGTGTATGTCGGAGTGTGGTTTGGTTCGACACTGGGGCTAATTTCTATCGATCATTCGCAGTTGATTCTTCTCTTCGACTTGAGTTGTATTTCTTCTTCTTCGTCGACTTAGGCTGGAAGTTCTCTTGTCTTCGACTTGGTCTCTTCTTGTCTTTCTTCTTCTTCTTCGTCGACTTAGGCTGGAAGTTCTCTTGTCTTCGACTTGGGCTGGAAGGTCTTCTCTTGCCGTAACTCAGCCGCAACTCTCTGTCGTCCGAGGTGATCTCTTCTCGCTGCCGTCCGGGGCTGAACTCTTCTGTCTTCGACTTGGGCTGGAAGGATTTCTTGTCTGAGGATTCTCTTGCCCGCAATTGGGCTGGAGTGAATGGGCCCGATGCCCGCGTTCAGGCTCTATCCTGCCCGCGGTCCAGCTGCAACTCCACTCCAACTCCAACTGATTTCTGTCGACTGGGGTCCTGCTTTTATTGACGCCGCAACAAACTGGGGTGGGTCTGTCGGCGTCAGGGTTTTCTCGATAATTCCAATAGTCGCATTAATTCTGTTTCCCCCATTATCGCTATTGTTTTCACCCCTACTTCCCTCATAGTGCTTTTGGTGGGGAGGCGATATCCATCTCTCTTCGGTCTCTCGTATGTCAGGTGACCGTTTTCGACTAATGAGATTCTGATCGAGCATTTCTTTCTTTTCTTTTCCGCAGCCACGTGACCGTTTTCGGCTAATGGGATTCTGGTTGAGCATTTCTTTCTTTTTTTCTTTTCTGCAGCCACGTGACCGTTTCGGCTAATGAGATCCTGATTGGGCGTTTCCTGCAATCAATCGGGCGGGCTTATATCGTTCTTGTTCTAAAAAACAAAATCTAATTTTTCCTTTTTTTTTTCGCACGCACGAAAAATGACCATCTTGGCCTTCTCTCACCTGGACTTTGTCAAACAGCCCGCCGCTAATTAGACTTGACTTCAGAAAGGATCTTTTCCGCCTTCTTGGCGCCCTCTGTGAGCCAAAAGCAATTGTCCCTCTTTTTACCTCTTTGTTTTTCCTGATAGTCAAAAATCTTAATTATCTACATTGAAAATGTCTCCACTTTATTGTTGTGGGGGTTCTAATTTTTAACAGGTCAGAGCCTGTATACCGTTCCACCGGTCACTCCCCTCAACCCAAAAGACACTTTTTCTCTGATTAAGATTGTTTCATTGTTCCCAAAATTTCTCTTTATCCAAATTGATAAGGTGTCTTTCCATGCAAAAGTAGGCTAGGTGCTTTGACCGATATCTGGCTTCCATCAAGCGGCCCGTTTTGATATCATGTTTTTTTTCCCTTTCTTTCTTCTTATTATTTCTAATTCTATTCTTCCAATTGTCTTTAAAAAAAATTCGGTCAACATGCTAGCTAAGATATCTTTCTGACTCTATCTTTTTGTTAATGACCGTTTTTTTTGTATTTCTCGACCTCTTCTCTTTCCCCTTCCTTCTTCTTCCCTTAGGATCGTCCAAGTACAATCTTAGTGAATTATTTTCAACTCAATTATTTTCCGTTTTAAAAAAAATCAACAACCTGTTTAGTAAACCGAATAAGAAAAAATTAAATCATATTTCTATGAATATTTCTAATAATGCAAGGTGCCACAAGTTGTATGAGTTCCAGCATGTTCGAATAAACAGAAGGATGTACAGATTTTGACATGACTATACAAAAATTGGTTAATTTATTTGTTAAAACACCTAATGAGGTTTTCACATGGCACTTGTTGGCTATGAGATGACATAAGCCTGGAAAGTGGGTGGGCAAGTTTTTCAGTGAGTTTGAAAAGCTGAGGAAGAACTGCAACTCCAGAGACCATACTCTTGAAAAATGTGACAATGAATTTATACGAGATGCCTTCACTACAGGCATAGGTTTGCATCCCATATGACAGTGTCTCTTGGGAAATAAGACTCTGGACCTACAAACAGCTTGTAGTAATTGTATGAGTAAACAGAGTTCAGGACAACTGTAAAAGTGCTAAGCTTTATGAAACTCAGCTACAAAAAGGAAAATAGGAGTTACAAGTTAAATAGCCAACTGGGGCAAGTCCATTGCTTTTATATCATAAACATAGGATACTACTACTACCACACATCCTTATACCCAAATTTCTGCATTGGACTTAGCCCAATGAAATAACAATATGTACGCTACTTCAGAAGCTCAAATGGCAGTAATAGTCGACCCATAACCCACAAAGGTATGTGAGAATTGTTATAAACCTCCAGTTGAACCTAACGAACCAGCAGTAGCCATGACCTATCATGCAAAATGTAAATGTTTTTTCTGTGGATTTCCTTGTCGTTTGTGGGACTACTATCCTGCTCACATAACTACTTGTAAAAAAATGCTCAAAGCAAGGACATTATGCTCATCCAAACATTTGTCAAATTCATTAGCAACAGTGACTGGCCATACTTACTAATGTACCACGGGAACTCTATACCCCGCTGCGACACACATAATTGTTAATGGAAAAGAATAAGTGATCTACTCAATTCTTGTAGCACTGACAGTTATCTCAGGGAAGGAGTTTGCAGGAACTAAACTTGTCTGTCTAGTAAAAGTATCACCATGGCCTAGAAAACTTTAAACACTAATTCAAGGGGTATGTAGTTGTAAATCTAAACCCTTTGCCTTAACAGTCATTCATATGTTCCCACATGTCAGATGACTACACTCAAATATGTTGGGTCCCTGACCAAATTAACTGAGGACAGTGCTTGTCAATTCTGTGCATTAAACATGACAGAGAGAGAAGAACCTTCACTATTTCCTAATTGACTGAATTGTAATCCTAATTCCATTGAACTGTAAGCCCATTGTCGCCATGTCAAAGAACTTTAACAAGGAAGATCAGGCCTTCATCACTAAAGAAATTGAACTTGCTTTCTGAAGGTGTAATTGGAGAAAGCATTTCACTAATGCAAGCTCAGCTAATAGTGGCAAATGACCATAACCACTGCCATAAAAAATGAATGTGCATAGATTACTCACAGATGATAAACCTATACATAGAAATGAACACTTATCCTCTGCCAAGAATTGATAAAATGATTAATGACCTCGCTAGATACAGCATTTTTTCTCAATTAAACCTCAAAAGTTCATACCACCAGGTGCCACTTAAAAAATCAGATAAAAAATACACTGCTTTTGAGGTAAATGGTCATTTGTTTCAGTTTTGTAGAGTTCTGTTTGGGATAAAAAAATTGGTCCACCTCATTCCAGAGAGCTGTTGACAGAATAATAAAGAAAGAAAACATACATGGTGTGTTCCCTTACATTGATGATATTACAATTACAGGGTGCACGCAGACAGAAAACGACCAAAATGTAAAAAAGTTCCTGGTGGCTATTATGAAGACTAAATTTATCCTCAACAAGTCAAAATTTGTGGCTTCGGTACACTTCATCAATATGTTTGGATACTGTGTTGGCAGTGGAGTTATTAAGCCCAACCAAAAAGACTTCCTCTCTTAAGAGAGCTACCTCCACCAGAAAACTCAAAATCATTAAAAAGAGCACGGGCACATTCACATATTATGCAAAATGAATAAATGAATTTTCTAATATAATTCTGCCCTTAATAGAAACTAAAAAATTCCCACTTGAGAAGAGGGCACTCAAAGCTTCCAATCAATTAAAAAAAAACTAGGAGAAACTTACCTTCCAAGGTTGAGTGTGATGTGTCAGACATCAGCATTTCTGCCATCCTCAACCAAGGTGGACAGCCAGTAGCATTTATGTCACTACAGGGGAGTGAATTAAATTATCACATAGAACACAGAAGGAGGCAGTGGTAATTATTGAGGCAGTTCACAAGTGGAACCACTATCTATCATGACAATATTTCCCCCTAGTTACTGACCAAAGATCTCTGACTTTCATGTTTAACAATGAAAGGCATACCAAAATTAAAAATGCTAAGATTCAGTAGTGGCAGTTAGAACTTGCTGCATTTGACTACATAAGATATTGTCCTGGCAAGGAGAATGTGGTTCTTGGCATATTTAGCTGAGCTTATGCTTGTTCAGCTATTACCACTCCAGCCCTCACCAACATTCACAATGGACTATGTCTCCCAGAAATTACTCCACTTTTGCATTTTATTAGAGCAAAAAAAATCTCCCTTTTACTATGGAGATGGTAAAAAAACATGTGCACCTCTTGCAGAGTCTGTGAAGAAATTAAATCTTGTTTCTATTGTCCACCAGAAGACACTCTTATCAAGGCAACCAGACCTATGGAATGACAAAGTATCGACTTCATGGGACCTGTGCCTTCTGTAACACATAACATGTAGTAATTGACAAATTACTTGTGATTTCCATTCATCTACATCAGAAATTAAATCCTAGATCTATTGTTCAGCTTAGCTGTGATACCTGGCTATATACACTCAGACATAGGGATGTCCTTCCTGTCTGAGAAACTGAGAAATTATCTCTCCCAAAAAAGGGTCACAAGTAAAACCACTCCATAGCACACAACTGGGAATGCACAGGTTGGATGATTTAATGGCATTTTATGGAAGGTGATTCGGCTATTAGGTTGCATAACATACCTGAAAAGTATTGGTGCTTCCTGAAGTCTTACACTCTGTGGAGTGTAAGACTTCAGGAAGCACCAATTTTGCTGTGTACCTTAATAAATGCCATCCCTTATGAATGCTTATTTGCATTACCATGCTGCTCATCACACGGGAGTTCACTTCCATCCTGGCTAATGTCACCAGGTCCCATACTATTACAAGGGTTTGTAAGAAACAGTAAAATTGATCCTTATGTGGACCAAGTTGAACTCCTCGACAGTAATCTGACATATGCCAACATAAGAAAATTTTTTTAAGAAATTATTTGCTTTTAGAATAAATATGAAAGTTTAATTAAACATGCTGTATCAATCTAGCATTGTTCCTCAAAATCTAACCAGTCATCACAAACTAATGTTCTCTCATCCTCTGTGACAGACCCACTAGTTGAAAGAATGTTGTCTGTACACCAAATGTTAGCATTCCCATCATGCTATTTCTTGGAATGTTAGTATGTACCCCAACGGATGTGTCCACTTCCAATCTGTTCTTAATGTCAATATATATTTCTATTTTCGATTTTATTTCCATTTTAGCTTGGCCTTAAATCTATATCATCCATTTACAGGTGGTATCGTAATGGTAAGCATTTATCTAAGCAGACTGGCAATACTCTTAATTTACCGTCCATCTCACATGTGTATAACACTAACACAATTACCTGTGAAGCCAGTAATGCAGTGGGCAGTACACGCAAGGAAAAGAAGCTGAATATAGAGTGTAAGTAAGAAATTTGATACTGACTTTTATATGGAACTTAAATGCAGTTTTGAAAACATATGCTTGCTCTTATCATTTATCTAAACAATTTTTAAAATTATCTTTTGTCTTAAATCTGATTATTAAGGTCATGAAGACTTTTTTTAATCTTTCTTTTAATGTTTAATCCCAATAAAAAGATAAATTTGAAAAATAATAAAAAAATATTTTACTTAAACTGTTATATTTGGTTGTACCAACTTCAATATTTACTTCAATATATCAAGTGGCAAAATGATAATAGAAATTAATCTGTGGGTTTAAAAAGAAACAGAAGAATGGCAATTATTGATTTTGTTAAATTTAAAGAAGTTTCCAAATTTACATAATTCTTAGAATGAGTTAGGTGAGCAAGTTTAATCCATTTAACATTTCATGCAATATTACTTCTCTGTGCATTTTCTCTTTTCAGTTGAATAGAGAATTTTTAAGATATAGATTATATTTTTATTTGCATGCTTTTTAAGTAATTCAAAATTATAAAATAAATTGTTGGTATTTGTCTATTTGTCACATTTTTGGAATGTACATTTTGTTTTTGATATATTTGATGAAATGATATACTTTGAAGAAATGCTGAAAAAATACATTTTTCTTCAAGTATTGTTTTATATGATTTTAGAAATTCTCATCTTGGTTTATTTAATTGGCAGATGGTCCTCGCTTCATCACCACCACTAGTCATGTAGCTGTAGACCTGGAAGAGAATGCTAAACTGAAGTGTGAGGCCGAGGGAAACCCTCAACCAAGCATCATCTGGCGCAAAAAGGACTCTCACCATATCTTGGGGAGTGGCTCAACACTAGAGCTCAGGCAGGTGCAAAAAGCTGACCTGGGCACCTACTGCTGCACTGCGACAGTAGTAGGATTTAATGAAATTAGTAGAGATGTGTTCCTTCTCAAAAATGGTAAATCTATCTTTTTTCTATTCTTTTTACTTATTTGCTATCATTACTCACTCATAAAGTTCCACACCTGAAAATTTTATATTCTTGATCATTATTGTTTCTTATGCTTTTAGGTCCCCCACAAATCATGAGTGAAAAGCAACTCTATACACGAAAAGATGAGACGGCCCGTATAGAATGCATAGCTATATCCGTCCCCAAACCTGTTAATATGTACTGGATGAGAAATGGTAAAGCTATTGACTACCCAAGCTCTGAGCGGTTCTCAGCCAGTGATGAGGAACTGCCTTATGGTATGAAGAGTACTCTGCAGATCAAGAACGTCCACGCTGAGGACTTTGGCAGCTACAACTGCAGCGTAACCAACAAATATGGCGAGGACACGGCCGTTATTACCTTATTGGAGGAAGGTACTAATATGCATTTATTATTTTCATGGTGGCAACTAAGCAACTTCCCAAATAGAACCTTAATTAATATGGATTGTAAATTTCCTTTTTACAAGAGTAAACATTAATATTGCAATATTTTTATACAGGTCCACAAATCTATGGTGATCAAGCTTTTAAGATGTCAAATTTTCTCATTTTATTTTTAAATTTTTGTTGTACAATTCTCCTAACTCATTGTAAATTCCTTTCATGTTTTGAAATAATTTAGTTGATACTAGTGATGATATGTATCATATTTTATATATTAAATAGTTGATATCTTATTTTAGAGTGCATATCAGTAAAATTACTCAGTCATTTATTCTCATTATAAATATAATATAGTTGATTGTATCATATTTATTTAAATTTGTCCTTTTCAATTTTTAAATTGTTTAAATATTAAAACAGCTAATTTCAGGATAAATAAGAATAAAAATAGTAGAACAATAAGTTTGGTTAAAAATACATTTCGCCATTTTGTAAACTATTTACTCTGTGGATTATATTCCCTAAGTTCATTTTATTTACTTGATATTGTCACAATTATCAAAGTTTATTATTATTAATATGAATAGATTGGCATGTCATTTTTCTTGTTTATTGAATGTGTATCAACTTAGGATCAATCGAGATAATTGTCTCTTTCTGATTTTGAATGTTCATTTTACTTCAAACTTCCTTGTTGCTCATGTTATTCTTAGCATCCTCTTCATCTGTGAAGACATTTTTTAGTAATCATTGCTTTATACAAGGACTGATATTACATAGCAGTTCAGCACTTTAATAAAAAAAATTCTGTTCTTTGGAAAGTATCATTTGCTGTTGTAATTTGCTTTCAGATTTCAGTATCACATTTTGTGCCATCTGTTAAAATTCTTTTTAGATAATTAAATTTTTGTACATGTTTGAGTTTGATGTCTCCAATTCCTAGCTTGCATCATGGGCTATCCCTGTTATTAATGAATATACATTGTTTTCTTACAACTGATATTTACTTCTTTTTTCTTTCTAACCTTTACATTGCATTATTTGCATTGTCTTAGAGTTTGTTGGAGTTAACTCCTCCTTAATTTCCTAACTGTTCACTAGAGCATGCTCTCCTTACACTATAAATACTGGGCGATTTCTTGCCTCGTTGTCTTTTTACTTTGCATTTCAGCGGACACATTTACAAAATGTGATCTCTTGCACAGATCTGCATTTTGCCCACTTGTGGGAAAACGCCATGGAACACACATAACATACATGTACGTACGAACATTCACCAAAATACAAACTCTTTACGTTCACAAATAAACACAAATGTTAATGTCTATGTCCTTTGTAAATCTTGTTGTTTAATACATATACTTGTTTGTGTATATATATATATATATATATATATATAGGCCTTGTTTGTTTCCTTTACATATCTTTGGTTGGACTCAACTTGAGTCCGTCACACAGATTGGTGACCTCACAATGTGATTTATTTTTTTTAACTCCTGCTAACAGAAACACAAGACTGTATATATGTACAAACTCACATTTACATACACTTTCCAAATGAGAGTCAGTCAGGAAAAACATTGAAAAACTCATACTATGCAAGCTGGACACTATTAACCCTCCCAAAAGAACATTTATAAAGCAAGTAAAATTTGTAATTAGATCATATGAAAGTGCAAAATCACAAATTTTTTATTCACTACAATATATCTGTACAAAACACATTTCTCTGGCGCAGCAAATAGAATTTTTCTACAACATGTGGGAAACCAGAGAAGCCTCAATCACCATTACAACTACTACTACTACTATGACATGAGTCAGCAGGCAACAATACAACACTCTTTTCCCCACTGGTCTATTTGCTTGACCCTTTCTTTCTCTCGGTGATGTTTGACCCAATTTAACCCAGCAGGCATGCTTACAGTCTTACCAAACAGAAAACGCAATGCTATTTCCAACTAATTAACACTCTCTTATGGACTGAAATAAATAAATTATGATACATCTCAAAAGGCAACTCACTGTCCTTTATCTTCATTCTGCAACGATGCAACTTGAACACACTAAGAATTTACAAGTACGATATTCAATTGATAATAATAGCAAATTCTCTCAAACATGCATCCAACACTTGGTAGAAATTCTACATCAGCTCAACTTTGTCACAACACTGTTTATATTAATTTTGTGTGCCAACTTTATCCACACATAGCAAACAAATGAGCTCATTTTCAAACAAGACTATGGTCAGGAAACAGTACAACAGGACGACAAAGCCAATTCAGTGTGGAGCATTGGAAAAAGACAAATTTTAATAGCAAACACTGAACACTACCAATGTTTCTTCCAGGACATGCTCCGAATCTGACCCACTAGAGAAAAATATACAGCAGCCTGAAGACAGCACAAGTACATTTTGTCAAATCACGCATCTCAACCACACTTCCGACACCTTTTCTTTTCAGTTCACAAGGACAATATTCAAAACTTCCATGAAATACATTCTATGAGATGCAACTTTCACATAAAAATTTGCTGACGATATTCACTAAATATTACTTAGTTATCACGAGTACACAAATTTTTCAACTTCACCACAACGTTCTCACTCCAGATGCATTCTACAGTACACTACTTGAGTACGCATCTCAACTTACTGAATTTACATGGAGCATTGGAATAAAGCAGGTATTTAAACACAACAGCGTTGGCTAACAGCAATTCACCCTGAAGACACGCGTACACTTCGTTGACACATATTTATTGAGACTGTGCTATGCATCCACTCCGAATATAATTTCAGCAAACTGACAACGCACATACTTTCATGACTTTTTCATCTGATAACATTTCAGAAATCACGTCTTCACCTTCAACATGCGTCAACCATTTTGTACAGTTTATAACTTTTTACATATTAAAAGTTTTCGTTCCTGCAACTTTCAATCTGAGCGGGGACATTGTCGGAGTTAACTCCTCCTTAATTTCCTAACTGTTCACATGCTCTCCCTACACTATAAATACTGGGCGATTTCTTGCCTCGTTCTCTTTTTACTTTGCATTTCAGCAGACACATTTAAAAATGTGATCTCTTGTGGGAAAACACCATCAAACACACACACACATACATACAAACATTCATCAGAAATACCAACTCTTTATGTTCACATACGAACACAAATGTTAATGTCTATATCCATTGTAAATTTTGTCATTTAATACATATACATGTTTGTGTGTGTGTGTGTATATATATATATATATATATATATATATATATATCAGTCTTGTTGGTTTTCTTTACACTTCTTCATGGTGGATTCAGTCTCTGAGACTGCCATGTTCTTGTAGTGGACCTTTTAATATTCTATCAGGAGTAACACACATGTTCCTAATTTAACAACACATAAACACCCGGTCTGCTACACGTTTCTTTGTCTGCCATCGGGCATCTATGATGCTTAGTTTTTCTCTCTCTACAGTTTTCATTGAACTATTCATATTTTGCCTGCCTCCATTTGTTCCTAATGTTTAAAATCCTATATTCTGTAACATTCTTTGGCTTTGTTTGCTGCCCCCTTCTTTTTTCATAATCTCAAGAATTTAATATCATCTAATTCTTTTTTTCTGGTCTCTCTTTCCTTGGGATGATGCCTTTTGTAGATACCATTCTAGCTTCCATTTAGATGTTCCATTCTGAATTGCTGGCCTCTCTGAAGCCAAAATATTTGTTCCTACCTCTGTCATGGATATGACCATTATTTTATTAAGGGAGGAAACACAATGAAAGAAAATGATTTCTAGACAGAGAAAATAATTAGTCAAAGAATTGTTGATTTGGAAAATGTCTGCAATTAAAACAAAATCTCTGAACAACAGAACAAGAATATTTCCTTTTGTCATTATTTTATTTTATAATTGTTTTCATTGTTTTTGTTTTATAAAAACATCTCTAGAAAAATAAAGATTATCAGATTTCAGTCTTTTCATTAAAAACATTTTAATGATTCAGTAACATATTTAATGTCCTTATCAATATTAAAAAAGGAAAAATAATAACACTGGTTAAAAGTAGGTGTACCATATAGTCTGGTTTGGGTAGGATCATTCTGGTCTCCTGCTGGTCTCCACAAAATTTCTAAAAAAATAGCATAGCATGATGAAAAATATGCCAAACTTGACGAAAACAAAATTTTATCATCTAAATGTTCATGTTATTATGAAGATGAAAGACCAAAGTTTTTTTTAATTATTTAAAAAAAATTTTTCTTTCTTTTTAGAACATTCTAAATTTTGATTAACAAAAACCTTGTTTCTCTTTGTATCACCGGAACTAGTAAAATAACATAGACAATTTTTAGCACGTTTTTTTGTATGACACACATTAATTTGGAAAATCTTGCAAAAATAAAAATAATTGTCAGATGTTAATGAAACTTTTAGAAACTATTCACAGATGATCAAAATTATTATAAATATGTTTTTTTTTTTTTATTAAAGTCATGGCAGAAATTTTTTTTTTTATATTTATTACCACCCCCATAACTAATTTTACGAAAACGCTAGAAATTTGATCGCATCAGGTTTAATGATTACAATAGTTAAAAGCATAACGCTTTGAGGAATGCAAATCATGTTTTTTTTTTTTTTTTTAATTTGACCCCCACTACCTGAAAATCAGCTCTGAATTATAACAAAACTCAATAAAACAAATATATTATTTAATTTCAAATGCTTTTATTTGCTTTTAGTTGTTTTTATGAATATGGACAGTATTTTCTGAAAGCAAAAATTTTTTTTCAATGAAAATGAATTTTTCATACAATTATTTGTTATTTCTTTAATTATAATAGATTTTTACATTTAAGTTGTTAAAATATTATAAAATTAGTTAAAAGCAACATCAACCTTTCCCAAATGTCCTTATGAGATAGATCTTTTTTTAGCGCTTTATAAATTGTATCATTTTGACTAATCAGAAGATC